CCCCTCGTCTCCCTCTCCTGGCCTGGTGTCAAGTCCTCCAGAGAAGAGCACTCCAAGCTGCCATGCTCAAGAGCAGGAGAAGTGCTCCGAATAAAGCCAGAGAGATTATATCATTACAGTGGAGAGTGAGCAAGCGAGCCGGACTGTGTGTTTTACAAAGCACTTGTTGTGGCGAAACAATTGTCCTCTTCTTAAGCAAAGCGTGCGAGATGAATGCGAAGTAGCCCTGCGATTTCTCCTCATTTTTATCACTGTCGGTTACTTGCTACATGATGACTTACATCTGAGAAGGCCTTGTCAATACTTGTTCCCATAAAGTAAGCAAATCAAAGCCCTCATCCTTCTCTCCAGCACTTGGTCGGGCAGAGCGAGGAATCGGAGGCTCTCAGAGGCCACGCTCCGCCGGTCGGTAATGGGCGAGTCCGCGCCTTCGCACCGCTCACCTGTTAGACATGATAGATAGCTCGGCTCTCTCCAGAGCGACTGCAGACAGAGCATGTGAATGACCGATGGCACCGGCGTGATGGATGAGGATGAGGGAGCGGGAAGAGGTGCAGCCCAGGGAGCGGGGGCACCAGGGGGTAATTGCACCTCCGCTTGCCCATCCATCTGCTCGGCTTTCCATCTACCGCCATCAGGCAGGGGCTACGAGCCTCCGCTGCTCGCCGACCTCAGGCTGCATACACAAGGGGCAGGACGACAGGCTGTGTGGATCCAGAGCCGACCCGTGTGCTTTATCTTAACAGGGCTTGACTGTCTAAATAGCTGCGATGATTGATAGTGCCAATGTGCTGGTAAACACGGTGTCCTCTCACGGAGACCCTGGAGAGCCCATTGGGAGAGTCTGTGCATTAGAGAAGATGAGGAAGTTGTCACATGGAAAAAGCTGAAGTTGGTGACCCTCGACATTTAATGGTTCAGAGGTTTTGCTGTTGTTATGCTGTATAACCTGTAGCAAGAGTTCAAGCTTACCTTCATCATTCCCAAATAAGACTGATTGACCATGTGAATGGTCACACTATTATGACCGTGCAACACTCGGTAAACACGCGTTTGTGCAGCTCAGAGTTGCTCACTCGCACTGTATGACTTGGCAGACAACTATTCCAGTCCTGTTCCATCATTCCCAAATATTACTGACTGACCATGTGACTTGTAGCAGGGTGGATATTTGGCAATATTTGAGCACATCATTCACAAGTTGACTGGCTAATGGAACTACATTTAAATACAAAATAAATGTACATTAATAAGGGAGAAAAGTTCAGTCTGGCCAATTTAAAGTGACGGTTCAACAAAAAATGAATATTCTGTCATCATTTACTCGCCCTTATGCTTTCTTTTTCAAAGGACAAAAGACCTATATTTTGTCCCATACAATGAAAATCAATGGTCTAAAACAACAGTGGACATTGTATGGCGTTGTATGGACTGAGACCTTTTTCAAAACAACATTTTCATGCAGAAGAATATCAAACAGGTTTGGAACTTGGACTTAAGGGTGATTAAATGATGACAATTTTAATTTTTGGGTGAAATATATCAGCTCCTGTGTCTTTAGTTTAGTTTTAAGCAATAGTTTGTGTTGGACCACCATAATCCAGCCTTTCTGTGTGGCTCTGTGATTGTGCATATGATACATTAATTTGTTTGGAGCGTCCTCCTGTATCAGGAACAATTTTACTCTTGTCTTTGTGTTTGTTTTCCTTTAAAAATTGCCTTTGGTAGAGCTAGTCATCTTGTAGCCACTGTATCTTTTTTTTTTTAAGTAGGGTTGCTTGAACAAATATTAGATAAGCATATAATATATAAAGATGTTTGTCTACTTGTTAAAAAAAAATCTGTTAATGGCGAAAAAGATAAATCTGCAAGACCCTTAGAATTGAAAAGTTGCTTCTGTCATGTTACTAGTGTAATTTCCCCTGTAAATATGTGCTCTGCAATAATGATATTCTTCAGCGAGTTAAACTTTAAAATCTCATTTCAGCTGATATTTTATCATGCCATTTTTCACCTTCTCTCGGTAATGAGTGGAAAAATGAACACCTTGCAGGTCCAAATCTTTTGCATTTGAGTTAGTATTATGTTCTTAGCTGTGTCTACATAATTGCATTTACTTCGCCTTTTTCCTCTATTTTTCTCTGTCAGGGTGCGAGTGAAAATGGATGGAGTGATAGATATCTCATTATATCTTCATTACCTAATACATGATATATTGCTGTCTTCTATGATTCATATCTCTTGTGTTTTGTGCTTAATGAGGGGGAATTTGTCCTGCCCACTTATTATAATTAACTCTGCATACATGAAATACTAGAAAAACATGCTTAGAAATGTATAGTTAAACCAGAATACTACCAAACATGATTGCCAAAACAATTCAATAAGATCATCTGACATCAAGCGTGAGGAAGTTTTTATTCATCAGTTTTTATCTCTTATCTGAATTCAGAATTCATTTGAGCTCATTTTATGTGGCAATATCCAAGTTTGAAAAATGTAGGTGTATTTTCTGGCCTGTTGTGGGCCATGTCACCATATCTAGCATGTCATATTTCATTGACTTTTTAAAGGAATACTCCACTTTTTTGGGAAATAAGCTCAGTTTACAACTCCCCCAGAGTTAAACAGTTGAGTTTCACCATTTTCGAAACCATTCAGCCGATTTTCTGATATTTAGAAGAATATCAGTAACCAGACAGTTTCTGGTCTCATTGACTTCCATAGTAGGAAAATCGGCTGAGTGGATTCAAAAATGGTAAACTCGACTGTTTAACTCTGGGGGAGTTGTAAAATGAGCCTATTTCCACAAAAAAAGTGGAGTATCCCTTTAAAAGTATTTAATGTAAGTCTGCTACTATTGTTTGTACTAAGGGTTAGGGGTTTTATTATTAAGATATTCCTCACTGCTTGTGGACATAATGCCTCAAATCATGCAGCTTTACTTTTCTAAGTGACTTATCCCATATCCCATAGACTCAGCCTGTAGGACCCCAATCTGTTTCTAACAGGCTACGTTCACACTGTCAGTTTTTTGGTATTGACAACTGCATTTATTTACAGTTGTGAGTCCTGAAATGTCCTATTGACTCAGCAACTTACAGTAGCATCTCGAATACTGTTTGTTGAATGTGCAACAGGAGTCAAGCTCATATTCTCTTACCAGTAACTTTCCCTCACTTTGGACCCGACAAGAGTCCAATAGAGCCGCAAGTTCATCTGTCAAACCTCCATTAACCGACAGAGGCTTTCATATCTCGATGGGGAGCGGATCATTTGGCGTGAGTGGCGTGTAGAACTCAAAACTGGCGGGAACAGTTCTGGTAAAGATGACACATTACGTGTAAGCAAACACAAATCCTTCCCAAAGTGAAGAGTGTCTCTCTCAGACACCTAGTCCCAGTTCAGTTCCCTTCACACGGGGTTTTCCGAGAAAGCAGTTGCGAGTCATGAAAATTTACTTGTGTGAGTTCTGTTATAGACAATATGCATTTGTCACTTCTATAAAGTGAACTGTGTGTTAAAGAAACAACTGGCAACCGCATTCTGTTGTGTGAACGTGGCCAAAGAGACTTTGGGGTGCACTGTTTTAGGCCAGGAAGTAACCACCTAGCAACCACATAGCAACAACCTTTCTTTTGTTCTTTCTTTGTTTTTCTTCCTGTCTCGCTACAGCGCGAGTCTGCTCTAGTATACAGCTGTCTATGGGCCCAGCCAAATGTAGCTGCCTTCAGCACTTCTCTCTCATTGATCCTGCTAAGCCGAGGGAAGTTTAGCTGACATCATCTCTTCATCTGTGCTCCCATGTTCTTCTAATTCATTATGTACATGAAGGGCTGCTGCGCTCACCATGCTTTTTCCTTCAATGAACATGTCTGAACAGAATGGCTGAAAAACAAGACACACTTTTAAACGTCTGTCAGCCATTGCATCACATCTGGATTAATTATTAATTCAGTTATGCACTAACCTGATCCTCCCTCAAGAGCATTTTGTTAGATATTGATTTATTATTTCTTTCTATATTGTTTCATAATATTTGGTATGATTGAATTTACAGTGTAGAAATTCTCTCATAAGTTTGGATTAACTAGACTGATATTTTCACGGGTATTGTGTTTGTATTTGAAATATTTTAACACATTTCGGCTGTTCTTCGAGCTATGGTTAATCCACGCCACAAATTGTCTTCTAAAATCTGCATTGAAAATGCAAAAAACAAAATAGTATTTGATTGTTATAAATTATAAATAGAATTGAATATGTAATGTTGTTATTAAATTAATAATGCATATTACATAGTGTCCTGATTATTTAGTTGTATATTGTCAAAGAATAAGGAAAAGCATTTTTGTTCTCATCTTGGACTTTTACAGTAATGTCTGACAGTTGATATTGGTTGATCTCCAGTAGAAACACCACTGCATGAAGCATATTCAGGTTTATTTTTGCACACCATGCATGGCAGGGCATCTGATCTGTGGCTGGTCAGATGAGGTCTCATGAAGCTCAGAAGACAGCGAGATAAATAGTGAGAATGGGATGAAGGCTGGATCATCAGGGCTTGTGAGGTGAAAGATAAATGTGTGTCACGGACAGCAGTCCATCCTTGAGCGCAGCTGTGTCACTACCATTTCCTCCACATGATGGACAGATGAGCACACCATCTTTACGCTTACTTTCTCTCTCCCTCTCCCGTTCTCCCTCAGGTCTTTATAGGCGGCTGCTCAGTAAATGCATTCTCTGGTCTCCCCATGTCTGAGTTTTTTTTTCTCTTTAAATCTGTATCCACACTTCCTGACAGCTTCCTTAATCTTCACCGCCACATACAAATGTTGGCAGAGCAGAGGGAATTTGTAATATGCCACCAGCATGCCCTGATCTCCCCCTGCTCACCCAGTGGCTCACCTTCCGTAACCGTTGCCCGCCGCACTTTTTTTTCCAGGCCGTGACTGCATTTGAGGTTAGAACTAACAGAGCTGTGCTTGTGTGTCTTTCAGCAAGTGGACGACGTGGCACAGACAGACGGCTCCCAGCAGCTTCAGCTCCAGCCCTCAGACTCTTCGGAGAAGCAGCAGCCCAAACGGTTACACGTCTCCAACATTCCCTTCCGCTTCCGTGACCCAGACCTCCGGCAAATGTTCGGGGTGAGTCTCAGGCCTCAGCCAGATGGCAGCAGGTTGCGTCTCTCAGGAAGGCCTGATCATCAATCCTGTTTTAATTTGACAAGGACCTTGATCTTATATGCATCCGTGTAAAACCGGTTTAGATATTGTGGTTGTAGCCTGTCTTTTATTTCTCCACTAAAGTAACGCATTAGTATAACTAAACTAGGGCATTTTTAATTAGAGTTGCAGCCAGTGTAGTCCAATTCCCGAACGAATTAATCTTACGAGAATCCTTTTTTTTTTTTCCCTTTCTTTTTTTACGAGTGAAAGGCATGTGTAACCAGTGTCTGATTCCTGATTAAATTAATCGTATGAGCTTTTTTTTTTTTTTAAATGAATCAAAAACAGTGCAACCTGTGTAGTCCACTTCATTAAATGATTCTCAGGAATCAGTTCTTTTTAGTGAATCAAACACGTATAGCTTAGAACTAACTGTAATCATGTGTAATTAAAGATTCTTTACAGTGTAGTCCAATTCCCGAACGAATTAATCTTACGAGAATCTTTTTTTCCCCTTTCTTTTTTACGAATGAAAGGCATGTGTAACCAGTGTAGTCTGATTCCTGATTAAATTAATCGTATGAGTTTTTTTTTTAAATGAATCAAAAACAGTGCAACCAGTGTAGTCCACTTCATTAAATGATTCTCAGGAATCAGTTCTTTTTAGTGAATCAAACATGTATAGCTTAGAACTAACTGTAATCATGTGTAGTTAAAGATTCTTTACACATTTTTCATTTTGCCAGTAGTATTTTATAAACCAAATAAATATTTTGTTTAATTCATTTACTAAATAGCTAAGACCAATTATTGGATTGCATTTATGTAACCCCTCAAAAGTCTGTATAACCTTTTGCAAAAATTGTTTTAAATGTAAAAGTTTAATAATTGACTTTTTCCAAGTATTTATTCTTTAATTCCGTTAAGGATCTAGAGACATTACATACACTCTAAAAAATGCTGGGTTGTTTGAACCCAAATTTGGGTAAAATATGGACAAACCCAAATGTTGGGTTAAAAATGCAATTAAAAAACTTACACTTGAAAGTGAAAGTTGAAGTTGGGTTCATTTTAAATTACATTTTTAACCCAACATTTGGGTTTGTCCATATTTTACCCAAATTTGGGTTCAAACAACCCAGCGTTGTTTAGAGTGTAATGTATCTGATCAATTTGATGAACTAATTGCCATTCCATGCAATTAATGTGATAAAAAAATTAAAGACTAAACTTCTATGGTTAGTGTGTAGCCCAAAAAAAAATGTATTAAGTTTTTTCTTGTTTTTCAAATCTTTCTGTTCATTGTTCATCCCTCCAAGGCTAGAAGGAGCATGATAAAGTGCTAAATGATTTAACTGCATTACATTAGCTTCCGTATGTATTATGTGACAAGGGATCAGTAAAACTTTTTTTTTTTTAAACAAGGGCATTCAATCAAAAAGTATTGTTATACTGAAAGCAGCTACAGGCTTGGTAATGGTTGGTCATTATTTAGCGTTTTATCCACAACTACTGCTCCTCAATCTGTGTTTAGATGTAAGCGCTCTCGGCTAGAATAAAACGCAAAACTAATGAATGACTTGGAGCTTTCTTTAACCAGCAGTCTCTATAAGACTCAAGGACTCGTACAGTTAAACTTCAGCATACCTTTGAATTAACAGCAGCCAGCAAGGGAGCGGCGTTAAACACTGGCAGCTTGTTACTGGAGGCTACAGGCAGCGTACAGAGGAGAAAAAAACATTGTTGGTCCCAGCTTGTTAAAAACCAGAGTCGGTGTTTACAAAGGGCACTGTATAGCAAACAGTAACACTTAAACTGGTGGAGGACTCTGGGTACAGCCTGACTGCTGAGTCTTGAGAACATCTGTTCCTCACACTCTTTGTTGTCTCTAAGAGAGGCTGTCCTCTCTGCTTCTCTCCCATCCTGCCCAGTGTTGATGTGATGAACAGGGAGCCAAGCACTGGTCCCACCAGTAGAGACGCAATTAATAGCGCTCCTCGCTGTGGTTAAAAACTAGAAGTTTATCCTCATTAGGTTTGTGTTGGCTGACAGCTCCGATGTGAAAACAGGCATATGTGTGACCAAGTGTGTGTATGTTTGTCTGAAGAGACTTCTGCAACTTGCTGTGAAGTCTCTCAGGGACCCAGGGGTGCAATTATCCCGTGCCATAGATAGACTAGTGGGAGAGGATGGGATGGACAAGCGCTATGCCCCTCTAAAGTCCCCAAAAAATGCGAGAAAAGGCAAGTCTGAGAACGGTGAGAAGTGACAGAAGCACAAGGAGAGAAGATCATCATCTACTGGTGGTTTAAAACTCTTTAAGTGCTTACTCTGAATTTACTGGCTACCCATAAATCTTTGGCTTCTGCAAAATGCTGTCCAGACTCCCATTTCCCCATACATAAAGTTAAAATTCTTTAAAGAATCCTGAATAAAAATGTCACGGTTTCCACAAAATATTAAGCAGCACAACTGTTTTCAACAATTATAATGATAAGAATTTTTTTTTTATCAGCATATCCGCATATTAGATTGATGTTCACTCACTAAGGACACAAACGTTTTCTTGGTGGAATGCAGAAAGTTACGATGGAACGCAAAACTTTTGAAAGAATGCATTGAAAGCATTGAAATTAATATTCATTTCATGTATACCTTGGGCCCTATTTTAACGATTTTAACTATTTTAGCAAGTAACTTTGTTGGCGGATCTCGGCGCTGTTGCTATTTAACCGGCGGGATAAATGACTAAAAAAATCGAAAAGGGGTTGGTCTGAAGTAGCTTCATTATTCATTGGTGTGGTTTGGGCGTAACGGGAAACAAACCAATAAGAGCGTCATATCACATTCCCTTTAAGAGCATGATGAACGAGGTGCGATTGTTCCATGGCGCAAAGCTTTATGCCTATTTTTCCCATTGTCATGGACACAACAATGATTTCCCTCGTGTTTTAATATTGTTCCTTATTATAATAATGTATCATTGGCAAAAAGTAAAATGCATCTGTGTAGATGAGAGAATCATCTACAGTGTATACGCGTTGTTCACACTCTGTATTATGGCCAAGCATGCACATTAAAATTGCATCTGAATGTACGTGCAACTCGCCACTGACTTTAGACTAGGTTTTTTCTGGTCAGTGGCGCAATTGTTTGTCGAACTGCAAAATAGCACCAGGGATTGTTTGCGCTGGAACACACCTCCTTTTTTGCGCTGAACCACCCAGGGAGTGCAAGTTCATTCCCTAGTTCGCTAGCGCGCGTACAGTAAGACACCTCTTTCCGTACATACAGTAAGACACCTCTTTCAAAAACATTTTTACAAATCTTACTAACCGCAACACTTTTACACCATATAGTGCTTTAAGAGTATTTTATCAATTTTCTCAGACTCTGTTCTCTTGATTACATAGTATGAAGTCTCTTTTTCGATGTTAAGTCTTGAATTTGGATTACTGTAGAAAAAACGTCACAGATCACACTCATTTTCGACTCCAAGACAGCTTTCTAAACCATTTCTGATTTCTCAATTTAGTAAGATGGAAATTCAATTTAGAATAGCTGATAATGAAAACTGCAATTTTATGAGTCTTTTTCCTCATTCGAGTACACTTGCCTGGACCATAGTCAAACAAAGAGCGACGGTTAAAAAGCTCCATTACCCAACCTTATTTGAGCCTCATTTTATAATTAGAAAAAGACATCCAAAGCAATTATACAGATGAGTATGTGGATTTAATGCTAGTGTATGAAATTGGTTTTAAAGCACCACCATGACGATTCCACACTGAGGCTGCAAAATTGTCCAACTCCTCCCATAATACTCGTATTACTGCAGTGATATGAGCAATCCTACAGCTCACTGCATGCAGCATACTGTATGTATATACTTGTAATAAAAATATCCCTCCACCACTGGAGAAAGTTAGTGTTAGATTAAAACAGGTGCCTTGTTATTCTGGATAAATAGACCGTCATTCCCCTTGGTATATCCCATAGAGGTTTGAATCTTCTAAAATGTTGATCACCCAAGGGAAGGCAGAGGTTTACCTAGAATCTCAAACAACCCCATATGGTTTTGTAATGGGTTTATAATGAATACCTGCTTGATTTCCAAACAAAACTAACTTAATGTCACACTACTGACTCGCTTTTTTAAGTACTCTCCCTCCGTTTGCACATCGTTTGTGACTAGCTTCAAACGACTCTCGTGAAGCGTTTTCCCAACCTATCAAGTTTGTGGACCACCAGCAGTCTCACACTGCGGTCTCCCATTGATCCTAATTTCATGTAGGCCTACACTCTTATTAAAGCTCTGCTGCGTGGCAATGGTGATGATGGGGCCTATGGTGACTAGGTGTGATTAGTTCAGTTTTCCCAGAGATGACTACCCTGGGAAATATTTCAGCAATACCATAAGCCCATTAGGGTGGGTTAAAACCATTAGCGTCCGCAGACTTTGTTTAGAGTGAATTGTCTGCGGTCGTGAGCAGGTTCATGCTGAGATGCAAATGCCAGTGTTTGAATCTGACTCTGGTGGAGTGGAAAAAAGCATCTTAATTTGAACAAATGGAGGAAATCGTGTCAAGTAGCAGATGTTTGGGTTTGTCTGTGGAATTTGAATTGGGCTGGAAAAACAAGCGCGGTAGATCAAGCAACAGCCGGCCAAAATGAACTGCGAGGCGTCACTTTTTTTTCCCCCCGCGTGAGATCTGAGCAGCGCGCACATCCTCCTCCTCTCCGCAAACATGCACATATACAGTCCGCCTCGGATTTTCCCCACGGCTGGGCGGATGAAAGGCGGCTCTTCTTAACCTTATTAGTGACCTGGGCCCTCGATCAATCCCATTGAGCCATAGGTGCCTGGAAGGCCTATTTCTCCCCTGTTGTGCTGAAATGAAGCCAATGCGGCCTGCTTGACAGGGTAATTAGTTTTAATGAAATAATACAGCCATTTTAGACAGCAATTAAAACCTGCTTTCATTCCGCCCATTAGGGGAACTTAAGGTTTTGCTTTCATTCCTCCACGTTCTGTAATGATCTCCAAAGCCGGCCATGTTAAATGGAACGCTTAAGCGCCGTCAACCCTCCGGGGAGAGCCGGGCCGGCCGTCATTCCTCTCCGGCGACCGCCAAAGTGGAAGAGAGAAATGCAAACAGAACCTTTATCACATGTGTCATTTTGTGCGATCGCTCTTAATTGCTGTCCCACGCTTTCATATAAACAGTCATGCTTCCCGGCACATTTATAGCAGTCCACCCTGGAGCTTCCTGTGTCTCCTGCTTCCATCTAACCAATTATTTAAGCTTGTTCCAAATTACTTCTTTAAGAAGCTGTCTCCTCCTTCGGCTAAAGCACCGGTGACCTTGCGTTGGCATGTTTATTTATTTATTAAAATAAACCTGCTTGAATTCAAGGCCTTGTTGTGGAGCTCCCTAACCAGGATCCCGATTAGCATAAGGCGAGAGAGGTTAACATTGTAATGTTCTGCATTACGGGCAGCGAGGGTGGTGTTTATCACCCCTAATCAGGCTGCTGCCTCTTAAAGGGATACTCCACTTTTTTTGGAAATAGGCTCATTTTACAACTCTCCCAGAGTTAAACAGTTGAGTTTGACCGTTTTCGAATCCATCCAGCCGATTTTCTGATATTTAAAATAATATCAGTAACCAGACAGTTTCTGGTCTCATTGACTTCCATAGTATTTTTTTTTTCCTACTATGGAAGTCAATGACACCAGAAACTGATTACTGATATTCTTCTAAATATCAAAAAATCGGCTGAATGGATTAGAAAACGGTAAAACGTTTAACCCTGAGGGAGTTGTAAAATGAGCCTATTTCCCAAAAAAGTGGAGTATCCCTTTAAGGGTTCACCTTTTGGCCACAGGGAGCGACGTTCAGTCAAAGACCAAGAAAGTTTGGGCTTCTTTCCTTGGCGGCCAGTTTGCAAATTCATATGCTGCATTCAACGGCGGAAAGAATCTTCCAGACAAAGCCATATCTCAGAGGGAGTGGTCAGAGCCTCATGGCAAATGCTAATTAGAGAATAAAAATGAGAGATTGGGCGTTTCAGAGGGCCGTGAGAATGACAATCAGATAAAACCACAGAACGGAGAGCAAATAGCTGGAAAATAATAACCGAAGTGACAGGTAATTACGAGGATGGTATTCGTCAATGAGATAATAAACAAATATATGGTTTATCATCAGCGATGATGGCTGCTCTATATCCAATTATCCTTTTTTTAATTGAGTCGGGTGTTTGGTGTTAAGTCAAGCCAGAAATACCCTCTACTATGGCTTCGGCCAGCTTTTATCAGTCAAAAACACCACAGAAAATAACAAGCCATATCGTGTCATTAAGAGCACTGGTGCATACACAGCAGGGTGCTTCTGTGATCTTTTGAAGTTTGCTCCCATCAGCAGTATGTCCTGCTCGTTCCCAGAGTCCCGACCCAGCCGAGAGCTTCATGTTGCACAATTGGTTAGGCAGCTACAAATAAAAGCCTTCAATTAAATTCACATCATAGGACCTGAGTTACTTTTTCAAAAACGTTCCTTTTTATAATTGATAGAGTGATAGTTGTGCAAGCAATGTTGTGTGTCATGTAAAGTTGTTGAATTAATCAGTTGAGTGCATGATTAATAAGTGATTCACAAAAAACAGTAACTTGTCTTTTTTTTCCCTGAATCGATCAGTGTTTTGAATTAATCAAATTAGTGAATGATTCATTGGCTCATAAAGACAATAGGTGTATTTGACTTTAAGTGGTGCTGCGCAGACCGATCGGTGTATGACAAAGAAGCACCACGAGATCGATTCAAGAGCAGGATTGTACGTTGGTGTCACTGGTTTGCGCAGCATCGCTTCAGGTTGAACACAGCTAATAACTTTTTTTTTTGTTCCTGAATCGATCTGTGTTTTTACGGTTGATTTGGTGACTTATACATACAGAGAGTCACTTGTTTTCTTCCTGAATGAATCAGCATTTTAAACATATCAAATTAGTGAATGATTCATTGACTCACTCATTTAGACAATAAATGTGTTCGTCTCGAAGCGGCGCTGCGCAGACCGGTCGGTGTATGACCTCAAAGTACAGTGAGAGCGATAAGAGAGCAGGCGGACCATATGCATTCGAAACGCTTTTGATCGGCCTGGCATCGCCCCCTTCAAGTTAAACACACCTAGTAACTTGTTTCCTGAATCAATCAGTGTTTTGAACAAATCAAATTATTGGATGATTCATTGACTCACCCATAAAGACAGTCATTTTTTTAATTCCTGAATGAATGAGTATTTTTGAACAAATCAATGTAAATGATTAACTGACTTACTAATAAACAAATAGTAGCAAGTGGTCCAGAAGTTAGTTGTTTTTGAGTCACACTAAATTAATTTGTGTTTTGAGCAAATCGAATGAGTGAATGATTCATTGACTACCTCTTTCACATACTTTAGGCAAAAAAATAGTATGTGAAATACTAAAATAGTATGTCCAAATTCACAATCTTTATAAAAAAGTAAGTAAAAACCATGCATGATAATGACTAGATGACAAATGTGGTACATCCGGATTACATTCATACTACACACATTAGTACTATATGAGTAATTGCTTGTCTAAAACAATTACGTACTAAGAAAGTGTGAGATTTTGGATGCAGCCAGTCACTTCTTTGTTTTTTTTCTAAATCAGTGTTTTGAACGAATCGTTTGAATGAATAATTCATTGACTCACCACCTTCTTGTATAACAATTTAACCTGCAGAGTCACTGAAAAATCCCAACTACAAATATACAGCATGGAACTACTTGTTGTTTTCAATGTATTTATTGTAAGATGATGCCTACTATTTTACTTAATGTAACAAAAAGGCCAGTTGCAATGTTTAACTACTAAATTAGCATTCCACCCCAAACATAATTTAACAGATAGAGAAAGTAGCAAAATAAGCTTTATGCTTCACTTTCCATTTTAAGAGACAATGCAATTAGTTGTCCTATATTGAGTTACATTATAATGCGTTACATTTAAAGTAACCCATTACTGATCCGTTGTGTTTGTCAGTATCATTTGATAGCAGAAGTGATGTGTGAAGGGGTCTGTCTTGCATGTTCTTAGCTCCAGTGAAAAGGGTGGGTTTACTATTTTAGCTCCCTGTGCAATCAATTGCTCAAGTTTCCTGACAAACTGCAGAAGAGATGAGTTCTAATTACTCCTTCTCTCTCCCTTTCTGTCTTCCTTTCTTTCTTTCTCCCTTGTCTCTCCTCTTTAATTTTTTTTTTTTCCTACCCATCTCCTTTTCTCTCCACAGCAATTTGGGAAAATTTTGGATGTGGAAATTATTTTTAACGAGCGGGGCTCTAAGGTAAGTCAACTGGAAGAGCAGTTCTTTGTCACTTCATACTTCTTCCTCCCTACAGGTCTCCTCTTCCCTTCATGAGCCGAATAATTACAGCTCTTACACAGCAGCCGCAAAGTGACTCAAACGTCACACTCTCACACTCGCTCACACTGAGCCGAGACACGTTTTGGAAAGGTAGCTACTTTGAGAGACAACTGAGTGGTTTCAGCTGAGTACAAGTTAACTCGCCCAGTTATAATTCAATAAAGTGAGTGTCTGACCAGTAATTCTGCTCTTAGAGTAATTCTGCTCTCAGAGCTGTCCTACTAATAAGATTCAGCTGTTTAAGTCTCCAGTCTTGCGCTGGAAACGGGTTATATATAGCCATTCTTCCATATAGCAATGCTGGTCTCAAAGGAGGGTGACATTTTGCTGAGGAGAATTTCTTTCACCTCCTCCTAGTTGATTCACAGGGGTGAATCTGCTCGAACAAACCGTCACAGTGTGCTCATTCTAAGCAATGTACATTATTAGATCGTTCAGAAATAGCCTGTTTTCTACTAGTATACCTCAGTAGCTCTGTTCCAAAACATGCTGCCTATGGATGTATGTGTACTTGATTCACAGTAGATTTCAATAGAATTTGACATTAGCATGTTGCTAAGCTGGCTCATTGTTATGCGAATGACAAAGCATATGCAAATATTAAGGGAAATAATCAACTTTTAATTACAATAAACATATTCTTTTCAGTATTACTGTGATCAGGAAAGTGAGGCTCACATGCACTCATACTGGCCTATGAAAGTTACACTCACCCCCCATAACCTCAGTGGCATCCAAATCAACTCACTCCCACTCCAAGCGGGATTCGAACCATAGCCTCTGGAGTCGGCTGTGGATTTCTGTGGGCTTTAACCTCTTGTTAAAGCGCCCGCCTCCCAGGCCAGACACCATAGTTCGAATCCCATTCAGAGCAGGTTGAGTCGGACATATATAGGATATATAGAGTTTATGTGTGTGTGTGTATATATATATATATATATATATATATATATATATATATATATATATATTAGGGCTAGCAAACGATTAATCGCGATGAATCACATCCAAAATAAAAGTTTGTGTTTACATAATATATGTGGGTGCACTGTATATAATTATTTCATATATATATATATATATATATATATACACACATGCTTGTATATATTTAAGAAATATTTTCATGTATATACTATATATATTTATATATAATTTATATTATATATAAATATAAATATTTAAATAATATTTTTTCGTAAATATACATGCATGTGCGTGTATTTATATATATATATATATATATATACACAAAAAAATTATACACAGTGCACCCACATATATTATGTAAACACAAACTTTTATTTTGGATGCGATTAATCGTTTGACAGCCCTGATATATATATATATATATATACATTTACATATACATATATATAATAGCAGTGTTGATTGCTATTATATAATGTATGTTACATGAAATTACATGTACAGATTTTTAGACGTATTTATTACAAGCTGCATAATTGAGGTGCATTTACCTTTTTGGAACATCCTCTGTTCCTGTGATCCCTTAAAATACTGCCTCTGTAGGCAGCTCACTAGGTTTTGGAACAGCACGTATTGTATGTTTATGTTATTCAAAAGATAGCGGCTCAGCTTTCTAGCTGTGCAAGCTAATTAAATCCGTGATAAAAGGGGAAAACTACAAGCGCTATGTTGAACACAGTAGCGCAAAATGTCAAAAGGATTAATTTTGCGCCCCATTCCTTTTTGATTTTGCTTTTTCCTCGCAGGCCAAGGACTCCTGGGCTGGTCTTTATTCATGCCAGACACAAGGAATGGAGTGTCCATGTATGCATATCATACTCACAGGCCTCCCAAAGCAATTACCAGGCCGTACTTGCATAGTGTGTATGAACTAAAAGACCAGGGCTTGTTCCACACTCTTGTTTGCAGTGCATACCTAATAGCTGTTCCGGATATGGCGTTTGGGAAGCAGTTGGCCATAACTCACTGCTGACAGCAGAGGTGGGGGTGCGGGGACAGAGCAGGCACTTCCCAGCTAGAGCGCAGGACTGTGTGCATTAACTTCTGAGCCTCAATGTGGCCTTGGAAATATTCCATACATTGTTTATATCATTTAAAGACAAGGACAATATCTGTGTTTATAAAGAATGACAGTTTGATACTTACTGATATGCTTGGAAAGACTCACTATAATGTACACATGCACACATGCCAAATGTTTCAGTATTACCAAATACAGAATTCATCACTGTTGAATGTAATCCCAGAATGCTTTGTCTCTCAATGTCTCTCTTCCAGTAGCGTTCACCCTTAAGTCCCTATCTCACTTCTTACTAATGGATAGAATTTGCAACCCTGCTGACTGTGACCTTTCTCTCTTTCTTTCTTTTTCTTTCTTTCTATCTTTCTTCTTTTCTCACTCACTTTATTTGTTGCCCATTCAAATATCTTGAATCATCCCATTCATTCTTTAATGGGAATCCTTTATGATCACATCATCTCAGGGTTTTGGTTTCGTAACTTTTGAAACAAGCGCAGACGCAGACCGCGCACGGGAGAAATTAAATGGTACAATCGTAGAGGGACGCAAAATTGAGGTGCTTTCCTAATCTTACTATCAATACCCCATCATCCCCATCCCATGAGAACACAAGAACTGTCTGTTTGATGAAACATGCATGCAGCGTCTCATTTGATCGCATTGCATCCCTACCGCTCACTTGCTGTCTGCATGCTGCTCGTTTTATGTGTCTTTTTGATTTTATGGATGAATATCACTTGTGACATGTAATAATTATTGTATTTGATGTGCATGCCATCAGATTTGATCATTTCTGCTTTGATGTGTATGTGCAGCTGGATATAAAAAACAGCTTTTGAACTTTTTATCATCACTTACAATGTGAGTTAAAAAAAAACCTGTATAATCCCACTTGTTTATCCCAAACATCCGAGGTGTATTTATCCATTCGTATGTCTTACTAGAGGACACAGACTTCTCTCTCTCTCTTTTTTTCTCCCTCTTCTCCACAGGGCTATTAAGATTTTCTATAGGACAATTAAGATAATTCATGTAATGCACAAACAATACATAGACCTATATATCAAGGGAGAGTCGAGGCCAGTTGTTTCCTCAAGCTAAATGACCTCCATGGGCCCTGTGGAATGGAAAGCCATTAACGCTAATTAACATGAGGGTGAAATACTAACATGGCTTCTGTTGCCAGCGGCCATGTTTAAATTCCTTTGGCGCCTCCCAACAAGCTGCTTGGCCTTTTTGTGTGTTACTAAAGTGCCTTTAAGGCAAGTTGGTTCACTCGGCAGCCATCTTGGTAATGTCCCCGAACAGCTATTTTCTGTGTAGGCAACAGGCATGTACATACAGCTCCTATATACTTGAATGGGGAAATGCCGCAACCTCAAGATTATATATCAATATTATTATAAACTCTGACAACATGTTGGTTTTTAAGCTCAAATGTGTATATATATAGGATTGGTTCATTTAAAGCGCATGTGCGTTCTAGGATAAATAAACCAGCCACCATTTTAAGCTTTAAGATTTGATTAATTTTCTGGTGTTACGCATAACCAGAAGACCTTGTACAATATGGCTCCTCCTTCCTGAGGTTAAATTTAGTGCTCATGAAGTCACCGCCTCAAGTTTGTGGTGTCTGGGAATATGTAGAATTGTCTAGACAATGTGGCAGATGAAATTTCAGAGAAAGCCTCAAGGAAGCTCCCACAGCTTGGCTAGTGGGGAATTCCAATATACTCTGGGTTTCATTAAAGCCCATTTTCAGAGTAGCTATGTTTCATTACATGTTGAACCAGATGTCATCATCCAGTTCTTCTACAAACAGCCTGGATTAGATCCTACATCCAGCAGGAAAACAGAAGATCAGAGCTTGATGGATCGCTTTCATTTTAGCATCTCATCATTTTTCAACTGATTAGCATGCGAATGTAGCTTCTTAATTGTTTTTTTTTTTGTTTTTTTTTGCGGAGAAGCATGAACCAGATTTTTGTCACACTCATGCCTGTGGAACATACACGTGTTCTGATTTGTGTTTTGCTTCTCATATCTGCTTTCTTTGTCACAGGTAAATAATGCGACGGCAAGAGTAATGACAAACAAAAAAGTGGCCAACCCCTATACAAATGGTAAGAGTTTTTATTTTATTTTTTTTTTTACTTTAAATTACATTAAACACATTCAGTGGACCAAAATGTAATTCTACACTTAAAATTGTGTGCATTTCATTGCATTAGATAACAATATGTCAAAATAAGATGCATATGAAAACTGCCAAGATGGAACCAGATTTTTGGTTCGTATTGCAATTTATTTTAACCAACTAGTCCTATTAAATCAGTTCTCCTCAAATTATATCCTTTATCACAAATTTAACTATGAACTAAAACAATAACAATGAAAATTTTCATGACCATAAAGTCTTGAAGAGTAAAACCAATTTTGAAGAGTATATCCTATATAAATCATGTAAAACCCAAATCTTTTTGTATACTTTTATATTTTGTTTTATGTTTATAATACATTTAAAACCTAGTTGTTGTGTTGTGTAAAATTAATATATATATATATATATATATATTGTGTTGTGTGTTCTTTAAAATCCCACTTTGATATTTAACTATGATCAATTACTATGAACATGTTTCATTATTCACAACACAGTATCCAAATGCTTGATCAAAATTTTGGACTACTTAAAAACTACTTTAAAATCCAATTCTTTATTTATTTATGTTTATAAATAATCATATATAATTAATTATATATTTTTTCCATTTAAAAAAATTTTTTTGTGAAATATTTTGGTTCTTTAAAAGAAATTACATCACTGTAAAAAAATATTGTTGGTTTAACTTAAAAAAAAAAATAAGTAACCCGGTTGCATAAAAATTTTAAGTTCATTGAAATGGAAAAAATGCGTTAATACAATGAAGGAGATTAATTTTACCACCAGAAACTCAAAATATTATGTTATCTGAACTACATATATTATCTAAGTTGATTTGACAAAAGAGAAAATGTTGTGATTTCAAATCATGAAAATATATATATATATTTTTTTTTACAGTGGTTTGATACTTTATCTAAATGAATTACCCAAATTCTTTTGGGCTGCGGTTTTAAACTGCCATCATGTATAATATGAATGATGCAATGTCTACTTTGTGTCCCACTAAAAAGGGATTATAGGTAAAGAGCGATCTCATCCCCTACAGCTCTCCTTATGCTGTTCAGGAGCTCCTGGGGGAGAGCTTAACTGAGAGCTGGCTCATTCAGCACAGGGGTCTTGGTGGGGTCCTGAGCTCTTCCGCTGATGCTCATTTCCTCAGACTGCAATAGAGAGAGAAACAGAGAGGGGGAATGAAAGAATCAAATATATCAGCAGCAGTGTAGACCCCCCCAGCTCAGCCACAGCCAATGGGGAGTGAGAGGAGGCTATTTTACAGCCCCCATCTATCACTGACAGCACACCGGACAGCACTCACTACTCTCTTGCTCTCCGTCTCTCATTCTCTCGCACCCTATATCGCTCGCACTCTTCCCAATGCCCTGATACCGCTGCCCTCTAACTCCTTCCACTTAATGTCACCTTAATAAAATATTTTTCTGTCATTTCACATCCCTTCCCACATCTTCCCCCTTCTTTATCCGTTTCCTTTGAGTTAGGCGAAAGATGGAGAAACAAACACTCCACAGGTCACGGCGATAAGCATTCGGAGCTAATTCTCTCTTCCCCTGTGTATTCCTCTACAGGCTGGAAGCTGAATCCAGTGGTGGGAGCTGTCTATGGTCCTGAATTTTATGCAGGTAAACTGCATTTGAGTGTTGTGGTCACAGGGTCCCGCTCGGATACTTGCTTTGATTTAGTGTTCTTCAGATGTTGTTTGATTTCAAAGAGGCAAGCGCTTCAAAGAGACACTTAAGAAATGATTTTAAAACGACGCCCCGCTCTCCCATCATCCACGATGCATTTGACAAACCAATAATCAGCCAGGCCATCATTTCCCACTGAGATGAAACTGTTTCCTGAACCGCAGATTAGGGAGCGTCTTTGTTTGACTGACTTGTTGTCTTTCTTTGTGCTGTTGTTTTCCCTCTCGATCTTTGATTTCTTTATTGCCGTTGGTTCTTTGAGCCCTTTGCATCCTAATGAGGGGGAAATGGTATTACAGTATTTCATTTGGAAGAAGTGCTGAGCACATAGCAGCTCTTTAACGGCCTGCCTTTTTGCTCATTAGACTAAAATCTGTTCATTTCAGGACAGCTTTACAGCAAAACTCTAAATAACCATCGGTGACAGAAAGCAGTCGTTTATCATTTTTATCTGACTTTTTTCCTCTCCCTCTCCCCCTCCCTCCCTCGGTTCTGGCATGCATAAACGCACAACCGAACGCAGCCGTTACACGATTCCTCTCGATCGAATACGCACAATGTGCATATGTAGAGCGCATAAAAATGCTAATATGCTAGGCAATCCGATGCACGTAAAATGTTTATGCATGCTTTGACCCAAAGTATGCTCTAAAACATGCATGTGATTCCTTCATACCTCCCAATCGGTACATACACCTTCCCAAAACATCCCATCAAATCAGATTGCCTATTCCTAACCCCACCCCACCCCTAATCCTAAACCTACCAATGCTAGGCGGGGGTAATAATTTGGCGGGGGGTCGAAACACTTGCACTTCAGCAGCTCAGCTTGGGGAGCCGGTGTCGCTTGATTTATTGGATGCTAATTTTTCAAGTCGTCTTAAAGTTCGCCAAGCCTAAACGACACCATATGCCTCCTCTGTTCCCCAGAGGGCAACCAGTGGAGAGGATGCAAAATGGAAATAAGATATAGATTTCGCTTACTAAATAAGGAACATTCCGGAATGCCCCCCGCCCCCCTTCACACGAAATAATTATGACTGCATTTAATGTACTTTGTTGGGGGAGGGGCGGCGCTGAAATCGGATGTAAAGGTGATTAATCACTGTTTATCAGTCCGAGTTTCTGTGCGGGAGATCAGCGGAATTGGGCACCATAAATCGTGCGCTGCTGACAGCGCACTCCGTCTCCATTCGTCCGGGTGCTACAGGTTTATTGTCCTCAAATCCCATTCAGGAGAATGACTGATGAGGGCCGCCGACTGCCTGCTTTTAACCTCTTCCAGGGAAGTCGGGCTTCTCTCTTCCCCGTAAGACTCCCTCCCTGGCTCTCATTTCTCTACTCCTCTAGCTTTTCACAGCCTTCTCTCGACATATATCGCTAATTCTATTTCCCTCTTCATCTAAGCCTGGGGTGTTTTCCATCTGCCCTTTTCTTACTCACTCTATCCTTAAATCTCAATATCTTCTGTCTTCCCTCGGTCTCTCTCTCTCCCTCAGGCTCTTAACTAGCACTGGGTAGCCAAAGCCAAATTAGAGATCCAGACGCGAGGCTGAGGCGCTAGCCGTGCTCGGGAAATTTAATTGTGCAATCCAGGAGTCGTTTTTTCCCGCCTCGCTCGATCCGTACAGGCATGAAGGACGTGGGAAACGTAATATTGATTGATTGACAGCTCTCTCAGCCAATGAATTTTGTCCTTGGCAGCATGTTGAGACAAACACGCCAATAAGATTAAAATGCAAAGTAGTTTTCAAGTTAAAAAAAAAAAAAGATGATAAAATATATTGAGTGATGTTTGGAAAGGGACGTTTGACTTCATTCCGTGTGTGTCTGATCAATAAATATCACTGGCTCGAAACGTACCTTACGCAATTACGTGAATGACAATTACATGCGTCATTCCATTCCAAAATGTGTCAACTGGCAATCAAAACGCAACACAAATATGCACAGTGTTGCCAAAAGGGGGAGCTATAACAGGCATTAGTACAAACGGTATTCTTCTGTGGTGTTTTTCTTTTTCTTGTTGGTCTACGGTCAACTACTGTTACATTATTTAACCTGACAATATTAGAGTGTCTAGTGCCAGCAATGGAGTCTGACTGTTGGTAACACAAGCTCAAGATATTTCACGTTGTATTCTACAACATAAAATACATCACCAGCTTTTACGTTTCTTGAAAAATGTGGTTGCTAGCAAGTGGCTAGTAAAAAAAAAATGTTGGTTTTACTTTAAAATTAAGTAATCTGGTTGCCTTAAAATTTTAAGTTGATTGAACTGGAAAAAGTGAGTTAATCCAATGAAGATTAATTTAATCAACAGAAACTCAAAATAATAAGTTATGTGAACTAAATCAATTATTTAAGTTGATTTGACAAAAGAAAAAATGTTGTGATAACAAATCTTGAAAATATTTTTTTTACAGTGAGAGGTTGTTTGGGACATTAAATGTCATCACCTTTCATATTAAAATTTTAATTAGAATTCATACTCACTGGTCCACTTTTGCAGCCTTGTTGTGTTTATACCGGTACTTACACTCTTTGCAAACTATTTGGTAACATTTTACTTGAAGGGGTGTGCATAAGATATCTGTGTCATGAATATCTTCGTGACCTCAACTACAGTGGTACTAATTGAATTTGTCATTAAAAAAGTTCAAATGGATTCATGATGTCAAAACCAACCACATGACATGTGAATGACAGGTTGTGTTGTCTTAGTAATGTCAAGTTGTCATGACAAAGACACTGACCGGTTATGATGTATTGGTTTATGTCAAGGTTTCATAACAAAGACATCACAAACAATGTCATATTTGCATTAAAAATGTCACAACTGAGCGAATGACACTTAATGACAGTAGTCATAAACATGCATAAAACTCCCTTCATATTCATAACATATGTCATGTCATGATTATGAAGGTGTCATGTTAGTCTTATGCACACCCCTTCAAGTAAAGTGTTACCAACTAGTTTAACTCAAACTTTCCAACTTGCAGATTTTGGTGGTGACATGGAAAAATTGCTACCGTGGTGTAGTTTAACTTTTATTTGTGATTGTATTTGGGTTTTAAAATTCATTAAGGTTGCATTCATTTGTGAAGATTATATTAATGAACAAAACGTGTAAGAATAATACACTCTCATAGAAAACAGAGCTTATTTCCTGCAATATTGCAGACATGCAGAAGACAATGGAAAAAATCTTTTTGTCAAGTGAACATTTAAAGGTATCTTTAGTGCCCCTAGAACAGCAACACAACAAATGCTACAAGTATAAATTATATTCAAACGTTCACACCTGCTGTCTTTTTGAGAGTGCGTAATAGTGCACCCATGTGTGTGCACCCCTTTAAAAGAGTGGGAATTTTATGCTTTTTCAATTACAAAACCACTCAAATAAATCTATAATTGAAATTAAGTAGTCTAATTACAATATTTGAAGTATCGGGGGGAGGAAAACACTCCCTTTAATCTAGCAATGGTGTAATTTTCCTCATGATATGGGTTTATCGGTGGTCTGATTATCTAAAGACATTTCACAATAGCACGCAGTGTGAGAGAGGCCCTCATCCGGCGATTTCCAGTCGCACCGCATTAAAGGAGCCAGTCTTGCAGTAAATGAAAGAGACCTGAGGGGGGTTGGGGATGTAATTGCCCCCACACCTCCATCCAAACAGCCCAATGGGACTCTTTCCACCCCTGTGTAAACCCAGATAAATGCAGCAGTGTGCCAGCATCCCTATCGGTTTATACTCTAGATGTGCAGATGTGAAGGGTTTTTGACCTTCTCTCATGTTAAAATAACAGGTTAGCACAAGGCCTGCAAGTATTTATGCTCTCACACACTTCTGCCTTTGTGTGTTTCATAGGCTTTATGGAGTGTCATAACTGGCTGGAATGATTTATGGCTTATTATTGAATCGGTGCTGCGTGCAGACCCATAGCTCATTATGAGATTACATTTATGTACGTCATGGCACACATATAATGTACACACACACACAAAATCAAAGAAAATATAAGAGCATTGTCCATGACTGGAATTCGGGATAAATTGACCATGGCCTGGCATATATCAGAGACGACCACTGTTTGGCATATTAACACCGACTCTATAGCTTAAAAGGGACAAATTAAAATGTCAACGGCTCCATGCTATATCAAAACGAAAGAGCAAACGCCTTACCTTCAGCCATTCGTCTTTCTTTTACGTCTGGTGAAGGGCCGTACCTCTCCGCCGCTGATTGGTGTGTCGCATACAAGAGATTTTATTGTTTGTTTGTTTGTCTGAGAGGAGATACAGGAGTCAAACGGAAATTATACCAGTGCTTGCAAACCCCAGGGCCAAAAGTTTGCTGAATGTGAATCGAAGAAGAAGTCTTTACACCAAGGCGGTGTGCTAAATTTATAGACATACATATATGTGCTCAAAATAAACCCAGCTGACCTCATTAAAAGGGCTAACTTTGACACATATTGACTATTAACTGAGTGCTGCTGCCTGTACAGTAATGATCAGGAGGAGGCGCAGGTTCTGTTTGGGGATATGAAATAACTGAAGAGGGCTGTCCTGCTCCTCTGAGACACAGAATAGACAGTGATAGTGTATTCAGTGCATAAATGAGAAAGAGAGCTTTGTGGGCCGCACTGCTGGGCTGTGTTCTGCTTGCACAGTACTATGGGTAAATCTGGCTGTGTCATTGACTCATCAGGGCCATACTCAGTGAAGGTTAAAGAGAGACTTGAATGTAATATACTCTTATCCTTTTTACAGTTTTAATCATTTTCCTTATCTCCTTTCCTTTTAATACCATTCTCACACTCAAACCTTTTGCAAACATATATGGGTCATATTTATCTAAAAAAAAACCGAACTGCACTCTTAGCTCTTAGTACGCGCCAATAAACAGGAATACAGAGTAATGTTTTGTGTTCTCCAACATCCAGCTCTTTCTCAGTCAGATATTATTTTGCTAACTTTTTGCGATCTTGCACCCATATTTATCAACTTATTGGATTTGTTTGCCTTTTTCTGTTTGTCTTAGGTCATTTTTAACCCCAAAATAAGAAAAAAAATGCATATTTTTCTTAAAGCTGCAATCCGTAGCTTTTTTTGGGTTAAAAATTATCCAAAATTTGAGAATTTGTATAACCAGCCAGTGTTAAAAACTGCGTACCTTAGCTCGATTCAAAGCTTGTAAAAATGTTTTTAATTCCAGTGGTACTGGTGGATTTCCACAGGAGATTCGAGCGTGTCTTTGCGTCATTACGTCACATCTGTAGACATGAAGAAGGAGTCTCAGCTAGTAGGCTATATTGCGTGAGGATGTTGGAGGTGGAGATTTATAGCCTTTTCTCACAGCACTTGATATAATTAAACTTATCAAATTGATGGCGGATCCAGAAAGGTTCAAATGACAATCACCAGTGACAACAGATTCACCCGCTGTAAAATGCAAAAGACTCCGTTCGGACTTCGGAGTGGCAACATAAAAAAAGAGACTGCAACCGGTCCATGTAAAAACAAGGATACGTATCGGAAGGACATTACATATAGTCACCCAATGCTGACGTTGTTAACATTAACAATTTGAGAACAAAGTATAATCTGCAGGGTTTTGCGTGATATGATAACTTATAAGCGATAGTTAGATTTAATCAGTGCGATTTACTGCAATGTCAGAACCAGAACAAAGGTGGATGTTTCTTATTTGTTCAGATTACCTTTTCCGGTGAAAATGATTATGTTGGTCAATCATACTTCCAAAAAGAATAATCTGTGATTCTGAATGGCAGTATCCACACCAGCGCGATTACTGACAGCCTCACTCTCCTCAAACATTGTGTTCATCCACGCTGTGCCGTGTCAAACTACAACTCGCGCAAAGTTAATAATTCTGCGAATGCAGATTTCAAACAGAGATAGCGACAAAGAGGGAAAACACCAGACCGTAGCTTTAAAGAAAACAAATCCTATATCATTAATATTATTTGAATCAAGACCCTACAATTTTGGCATTTACCTTCTGAGTTCTCTACAATATATAACAATTGTAAGTCGCTTTGGATAAAAGCGTCAGCTAAATGTAAAAGTAAATGTACAACACCAGAAATCTCATTCAAGAGATAATTCAGAAAGAAAATGCCACAATTGTGTATATAAAATATGTATATATGTTTTTTAGGGCTGTCAAACGATTAATCGCGATCAATCGCATCCAAAATAAAAGTTTGTGTTTACATAATATACAGTATGTGGGTGCACTATGTATAATTATTTTATATGTATAAATACACACACATGCTTGAATATACAAAATAATTATACACAGTGCACCCAGAAATATATTATGTAAACACAAACTTTTATTTTGGATGTGATTAATCGCAGTTAATCGTTTGACAGCCCTAATGTTTTTGTTTACATTTTCACTATATGGTGGTTTTTGTTCTGTAATTGTAATTCAATTGAATGAAAACAAAAATAATTGTATTACAGTAATGAGACTCATGTCGCAAGTAAATAGAGTAATGACAATTTTCTAAGTGTTCACACTTATCCAGTCAGATTAGACTTTGCGAGATTGAGAAAGAGCTTTCCGTTTTAATGTGCAATATGCATCTAATGGACTGAGCTGCGGGCAGTCTGTGGGCGTCTGTGGCCGAGACTGTGTGAAATGTGACCCGGACATGTTTTCACCCATTTATTGTTACACATGCTGTTTCAAGTTTCATTCTGTCTGCTTCACTTTCACATCCGTGTATCTTTCCTTAACATGCATAAAGCCTCAGTCTCTCTCTCAACTCTGCCACCTCTCCCAGTCTTGACCCTGAGTTGTCCCTGTTCTCCTCCAGGCTGGGTCTGGCCCCAGCGGTGGCGTGAGGCTGGGGAAGTGTGTGTGGGGGGAGAGAGATGAGGGATGGCGCCAGCCTGTGATTGCATCTCTAAACAATCCTCTCCATCTGCTCTCTCAACCTTGTGTGCCAGAACCTTGTGTCTCACCTACAACAACCTACCATCTCCCCTGCCTCGCACACACCCCTCCAGAGTGGGAGAGCAGCCAGACACACACACACACACTCACCCCACGCACAAGCGTTCAGAGATACCCACAATAGAGAGGCTTCCCCAGACAGGGTTTGCCTTACCGTTTTGCTCTCTAAGATTAATGATAAATATTTAGCTGGAAAAAATCTGGAAAGTTTAGTTTAGTTTGTTGCTTCTCAATTGGTGTGGTAGTTTATGCTCGAATGTCATTTTTTCATAAGAAATCAATTGAGTCAGTAAATGGGATGCACAATGGTGGTGAGCCAATTTTAGAAGGGTTTTTTTTTTTTACATTTTATTTTTTTATTTTTTTTTTACATCTAGATTACCTTTGACGTCATCTTACGCTCGCGAAGGTTAATCTTCAAAAACACAAATATTAATATTTCACAAGATTTTAATGTAAAATTAAGCCTGTTTCTATATTTTGTGATGCCTAAATTCACTAGCAGAGCATTTTATTTCATATTTAATATATTTTTTATTTTATTATTGATCATTTATACATTATCTGCAGTTACATGAAAATAATTATTGGTGTTATCGTAACAGACAGAATTTAAATATCAGTCCATCAGTTGCTCCACAAGTAACTTGTTGTTGATGTTGACAGACAGCCCAGAATTCCATAGTGCACCTTTAATAAATATCACTTTTGAGTTTGAAGGACATTTCGGTTTTACATTTGCACACATCTTGAAATGTATCGGGTTGCACACAAATCTGGGTCCTGAAGCAAAACAGTTTGAGAATCACTGGCTGTAACGTGCTGCCATGTTTGATGTTTTGTGCCAACATGACGCACCGTTTGACATCCGTCTGAGTTGTTTTAAAGCATCACATTTTAGGATGACAGTGCCTTGTCACACTACCGACTGAAAGCCGATTGGTGGTGACAGGTGTGCCTCTTAGAAGCAAAAGCTTATGTCACCACCTTTCTTCTCTCCTTTCTTCCAGTGACAGGCTTCCCCTATCCAACCACAGGGGCGACGGTGGCTTACAGGGGTGCCCACTTGAGAGGCAGAGGTCGTGCCGTCTACAACACGTTCCGTGCTGCACCTCCACCCCCTCCCATTCCCGCTTATGGAGCGTGAGTTCACCCAAAACATACACCTTGTTTTTGTCCAAGCCTGAGGCCATTATTAGGTAAACTTCTGCACTTAAAAGCACTGTCATAAAAGGGTCATTTTCGCATTATATGTGCTGCAGCCTTAACGTGCAACATGACCGCTTGATGGCTATAAAGTGCGTTACACTCTAATGGCGAGCCCTACCAGTTTTCCCCAGTGACAAGACAGAGCATAGCCCATTATAAAGCAACATTGTTTTCCTCTAAGCACAGAAAATGGCCGTCTTTCCAATCTGCTCTATTTTATTCCTTTCCTCACTGTCTGGAGTGCATTGTTTTGTCTGCTGAATGAATGCAACGCTGCATGATTTATTTCATTCTCTGTACAGTGTGAGGAAACTCCATAGACGTTCAGCACTGATGTGTGTTTTGTTATTTCTTGTTGTGTCTTTGCAGTGTGGTTTACCAAGATGGCTTCTACGGTGCTGAGATCTATGTGAGTATACTCGGTTTTGCTGCCATTTCCACTGTTTCGGTAAATTAAGGAAAGTCTGTATGCAACGCTGAGCCTAACCTAAGCATCTGGTGCTGAATCTTTCATAAGGACAAGGGTCAGCTCAGGTCACCATGTGCAAATCCACTAGGATGGCCATTTGTGGAGTACTAAATACCTTTTTGGGTTCCCCTGCGCATTCCACTACTTGGAACAATGAAGTCACACACGGCTAAACCGTCTTCCTTTGAAGACTGTAGTTGATCTCAATGGATTGTACGATAATGCTGACATGTCTAGTGTGGATTGAACCAAAAACAAACCCCCCCTCCGCACTTAACGTCTCATTCTTCCACATTTTATCTCCACCGCGGCCTGGTTTCACTCTAAGTGGGAGGAAAATCACGCCGGATCAAGTTGATGAAGTCGACGTTACAGTGTTTTTGTTTTAATTTCTGGCGTGCGTTTGATCCGCCTTTCCCTCAGCTTCCATTAAAATACAGCCCAAAGGCCTCACTCTACAGCCCGAGATTGTGCCCAGGCCCTATTGTTTTTGACAGGCCGTCACAATGTATTAGTCTGTCAGGTGATCAGAGAGCGTGCCTCCCTTTCCCAGGATTATTTCACTGCATGAAAAATGGAAATTAATTCAACATTTAGATCTGAAACGGGACAAATGAACATCGACGTAATTGTGATGCCTTTACCTGGCGTGCACAATAGTATGTTTGCCACCAAGTTAGCCAGGAGTGGGGTTTTAACCCCATAGATCACAGTCAAATGGATTTTGATGAATGCACGTAACACGTGTTCACTGAGGTCAGAGTCTGCCTCTAACTTGCCTATCAACTTTTGAGTTGCCTGAAAGCAAGATAAATTGTATAGGAATTGTTGACACAACAAATTATGATTCTCTCGATAATTACCGTCAGTGTTTTCTCACTCTCATGTCGTTCTAAACCCGTATGCTGATTTTTAAATTAATCTTTTCTATATAACCTTTCTTCACACATACAATATCAGTTTATCCCTCAAACCGTCATCCTGTAATTGTGGACAAATGTGGGCACAGAGGACTCAGGTGCGATCCTAATTTTTATTTATTATAAATGTTATATCACTGTCTTTGATAAAGTTTTGTCTATCCATTTATGGTGTTTTTTTTTTTATTTTGGGGGTATTTTTGAATATATTTACTTCAAAAAGTACCATATTTTCTATCTAAATTATGCTTATTTTTATGTTTTATTTTTTAACTGCATTAAAACATCATTCCCATAAGTTCTTAGTGCTAAAACCTGAAGATGAAGTGACTTCAGCTGTCACCTGGTGTCTTATTTTGGCTTATTTTAGAATGCTCTAAATTACAGTTTTTCCCATTCATTTCTATGGCCCATATTTGACCCAAATACAAGATTAAGGAGGGGTTTTTTTCACCCACTTTACATTGTAGAATTGAGTCAAAAAAAATGTGTGTGTTCAGGAGGAAAACTTAGGAAAAGTAGCTAAGTCTTGTACCGCTCAGACCAAGGGAAGTATTTTTTTAAAATAAATCAAAACCATTTTGCCCACATTTGTCCAGAATACGGTTTTAGGGATATAGTGACCAGGTAGCATAAAGTAGTCTTTAAGACTCATGTTCAATATGTTCACTCAAATGATTGGGATCAAATTATTTTTTTGAAGAAATTACTACTTTTATTCCAACATTATTGGTCTTGTAGTGTCTCGTAACGTAATCCCATGATGTCAAGCTCGAGATTTTATAGTGGTTTTGTGCAGTGGTGGAATGTAACGAAGTACAAATACTTCGTTACTTTACTTAAGTACATTTTTCACGTATCTTTACTTTACTTAAGTACAATAAATAGTGCCTACTTTTTACTTTTACTTCGTTACATTTTGCAGCAATTATTATACTTTCTACTCCACTACATTTCTACAGCTTCTGTTACATTTTCGTTACATTTTCTGATCAGTTTTTCCCCTGCCAAAACGTAACCTGACCGTCCGTTCGTTGCACGTTTGTCTCACCAGTGACGTTTGGTTGCCATAGATACAGTATATCAACCCAGTCACACTAAATGCGTCTCACACGCAGTGTGTTTATCATGCAACTCATACGCGAAAATTTGTTTTTACGTGCATAGGAAACACACCGTGTGTAATATATGTTTGGTTTGGTTAGGATTATGGCAAGCCAAGAGGCTCAGAATTACACCATAAATGAATCGCGTTTACTGCCAAACATAGTAATTAACATATAGTACTAAGGATAAGCATGATATTGCCTAATTGCAAGCTTGTTTCAGAAATGGTGACGTTTTTTTCCATCATTATTGAACATCATTATAGGAGTAGGCTATTAGGTTGAATGAGTTAGAATTAAATGTTTTATTAATCATTAGAAAATAGACATTAAGATAATAAATTGTTATGCAAGTACTTTTACTTTTAATACTTAAAGTACATTTAAAATAAAGTACTTTTTACTTTTTACTTAAGTATGGTTGTCATTGTGTTACTTCTACTTTTACTAAAGTAAATATTTATCTGGGTATTTGTACTTTTACTTAAGTACTGAGATTCAGTACTTCCTCCACCACTGGTTTTGTGATAGGCCGTGGTCATTGCATGGAAAAATAATCTTTTAGGACGTGAGGGTGAGTAAATAATTACATAAATATCATATGTGGTTTACCTATCCCTTTAAATCCATCCGTGTGGGGAGTTGATGAAACCAGCGGAATTAAGAATCTGTAACTTGTACGGAATCCATGTACACACTCGTCTATGACCTGCTTTTTCTTCAACTCCAGTAGCTAAACATTTGATCTTAGCAGAGGAGCATTGGACATTAATCCCGAGCTGAAAAATAAATGAGAGCATCTATAATTCAGCGCGCAGTCCTGTATCTGCGATGCCTCGGTCCTGCACGCGCTCTGGCACCGCGATTATTCACATAATGTTCCAGTGATGTCAGCGAGCTAAAATCACAAAGAGCGGAGCTGCGTTTCATTAAAACAGACAGTTCAATAAACACCCCAGCCACTTAGATACGCGCTTGCAGCCAGCAAATACATTCCCTGTTGTTTAAAGCTTGGCATGTTTGTAGTGTAAGCGTTCACGAAACATCACCCGGAGAAGACTAGCAGACAGCGCTCGGTTGTTCCAGCTAACCACCTCGACTAATGTCTGATGCCGCTTGCAAGTCGACTATTAATAGCTAGCTTGAACGGAGCAATTAATAGCTTTGTCACATGTCATCTAATGCTTATACAAGCAATATTTAGTGTTGTCTTGTGCCGTTCTCCAGCCACGGATGAGCACGTTGTGTGTGTCAGGACTGCTCCCCTGGGCACCGAGCCAGGGGACTCGTATTGGCCAGCCACATTAATTAAAAGGCCCCTTCAATAGCTTCAGCCAAATCTTCCATTTGGTTCATTCGCAGTAAGCAAACATTGACTGATTTTAATTGTTTATACCAGATTGCCACTTACCATGCTGATCGATAGTTGCCCGGCCCTGCCATTTCAATTGATGGGATTGATGCGCTCTGGAAAGACAAGCCGTTGGTTGCACCACTATTGCTGCACTCAGCTTAGATAAGTGAAGACGCTCAGATGGTTCGCTTTCGGACTTGGGCTGTTAAGCATCTGTGCCGAGATCTATATGAAGAGCTAATGCGGTCAATCTGACAATTCCCCATTAAACAAAAAGGCTTCACAAAAAGCTGTATTGGCAAACTAAATACCACCTAAATCACTCAGCGCTGATTTTAGTGAGCATTGACAGGCCTTTTCAGCAGCACTCTTAAGGTTGTAACTGAGCTTTTGGGATTCACTGCATTGTTAATGTATGAACAGTCCAGTTATGTTGTGGTTCTAACATTTCATGTCACCCATGTCCTGCTGTTTGCTTGTGTCTGACGGATGCCCTTATGTAATTGACAGGGTGGCTATGCAGCATACAGATATGCCCAACCAGCCGCAGCAGCTGCAGCAGCCTACAGTGACAGGTAAGAGTCCAGCAGCACTTCCTGTTTGGAAGGAATTAAGGGCCAGATTTACTAAACTTGGCAAATTAGCGTGGGGGCGCAATTCTAAAAAAGCGCCGATGGGAGTGGAAAGTTCTGCAGCTAGCGTCTGCTTTAAAGGAGTAGTTCACTTTTGCTGATAATTTACTCACCCCCATGTCATCCAAGATGTCCATGTCTTTCTTTCTTCAGTCGAAAAGAAATTAAGGTTTTTGATGAAAACATTCCAGGATTTTTCTCCATATAATGGGCTCCAAACGGTTCAAGATCCAAAAGACAGTTTCAGTGCAAACTGTTCAAACGCCTTTAAACGATTCCAGACGATGAATAAGGGTCTGTAATCGAAACGATCGCTCATTTAAAAAAAAAAATTTAAGTTTTATAAGCTCAAATGGTCACCTGCTCTGTTCTGTGATGCGCGTTCGTGACTCTCCTGTTCAAACTCGTTCATCAAAATGAACGAATCTTTTATCCGAGTCAATTCGTTCATTTTGTTCGTTGAATGAACCAAATGACACGACAAAAGATTTGTTCATTTTGATAAACAAGTTTGAACAGGGGAGTCACAAACGCTAAAACACGAAACGAAATTATTAGCATGAACTACTCTTTTAAGACATGCTTTTTTTAGGCAGTAAATAATGGTGCAAAAAGCAGTGAATTAATTAGCACAAACTTTAGTAAATGATGATTCATTTAAATTGCATATGCAATAATAATGTCCACGCTGTTTCAGTGTTTTTAGGAAATCTTAACGGCCGTTTTTTAACGCCAAATGAGGGTTTGCGCTGGCACAATCTGTTAGTAAATCTGGCCCTATCATTTTTACAAAATGTATCTTTATGGCTGTCGTAGTTAGCATGTAAACTTGACATATTTTATGTTTGTTTGTTTTTACTTTTCTACCAAATTGGTTATAGTTTAATTCTGCTTTTAAAGACAGCTTTTGTTATAAATATTTACGAATTGTAGACATTTAGATTTAGATGTTTCTTTATATATTAAACAGCATAGTTACAATGAAGCAATGAAGCTACTGCATAGTGTCCTACATCATCATTTGATAAGTTACAATTCAAACATAAAAGCTCCTTTTCTGGTTCAATCTTATCCATTGCAAGTTTTAACTGTATTTGCGATCCGAAGTCCTTCTGGAAAAGTGTTTCGTCAGCTCCGAAAGTCCGGTTTGAGTTTACAGATCTGCTCTCTCATTAAACCGGATCTTTAAATGAGATCATTTAGACATCCATTCCCTATCTTTGATAAACTCTCACCCTTTAAACTTGAATTCAACCTGAATTTCTGTAACCACTTAGCTTACTCACTTCAGGCCACAGGGTTGAGTGTATGTGTGTGCGTGAAGACGAAGGTGGTGCAGGGTTGTCAGTAATTTATCCAGGACCTGTGGGGACCCTGTCAGGTTGGATCAGGCCAGGCACTGGTTTAATCTAGGCAAGATTGAGCGTGTCAGTGCCGATAAGGCACGGCCCTGCCTGCCAGCCTGAAGAGCCCAGATAATGTAAGATTTATCAGAGCCAAGCACAGATCCACATCAGAGCAGGTGACAAGACTGGCATTCCACCGCGCTTATTTCAGCCCCCTTCCTGCGTCCCCTCTTTCACTCCAGCTCTCTTTTTCTCTCTCCACCTCTTTCTGCATCACTTGTCGTTCAACTCCTTGCTTTCACAAAAGCCAGCTCTGCGTTGTGCTCTCTAATTTGAGATGTCATGGGGAGGGGGGTTTAAAAGTAACTGTTTAAATTTTGAACTAGCCTCTTTAAAGAGTGTTAACTCTGTCATCATTTCCTCTCGTGACTTACTTTCTTCTGTACAACATAAAAATATATATATATATTCTGAGATGTTTTTGAACTGTTGTTGTCAATGCAATGAAAGTCAATGGGGCCCAAAACAGCATTAGGGCTCATTGTGTGGCAAAACGTTTTTTTCCTAAATGTCTTTGTGTTCACACACAAGAGAATAAAAGTCATACAGGTTTGAAATGGCAAATTAAATGATCATTTCTTGCTTTATCTCAAGCCTGTATGACTTTTTCTTATGTTGAACATGAAAAGAAGATATTTTGAGAAACCTCTTTGTGTCCCAAAGAAGAAAGTAAGTCACAGTAGAGTTAGTAATTAAAGACAGAATTATCTTTTAATTATCGAGTGGAGACCGCGTTTGAACTAGCTATCCGGGTTACCTTTGGATTGGGTGATTCCCGCTGATGCCTGGTTAAGATGCAGGTTAAGTAGCCCAGCCCGGCTGTGGTGTTTCGGGGATTCCCAGCCGCCCTCGTCTGCACTGTCACAAGCAGTTAAAATCCCCTCCGCTCTGCTCTCTCACTCCACTGAGCTGGCCTGACCTTTGATGTTGTAATAATCCCGGACGACAAAAAACCTGGTCAGATCCGATAGTATTTCCATATGTAATAGCATGTCTGGGCCCAGGATTTTCCACCGTCTCTCCTCTTTTCTCCTCGCTCAGTCTGTGCCCTCGGCACCCGGCTCGGCCTGCCTTATCTGCTCCCTGCAGGCCCTCATTTGCAAGCGTGTGTTTGTAGGGAAAGTCAACAAATGAAGAAGGGAAGTGTTGGGGGTTAATAAATAAATAAAGAAAGAAGTAAGGCCCATCTTGGAGGAATTAGTTCCAAATCGGTACCAATGAAAAGAGTCAGAGAACGCCACCGCCGCCACCAGCCCTGTGCCTCTTTACAGAGCAGCTTGGGTAAACAAGAGAGGGCAAAGGAGCATGAAAAGGATAAAGAGAGCTGTGAACATAAACTCTCTGCCTCCTTCACTCGCTTTTTTAATGCGCACGCACAACAACACAAAATCCAAAGCATCCATGCATCTCTTTGCTTGCTGGGTCTTTCCTGTGCGCAGTACCTTTAGAACTTTGTAACTTTTAAAATGAATTTGCAAATGTTGTAATTTAAGGACGTCATTTGTATAAAAATGCTTTGCCATTCATTTTATTTATTTATTCAGACTTGATTATTTACAGAGTAGCATGAAAAAAATAGCCATTGCTTAGTGAGGGACTAAGAGTTCGCTTACATGCAGTGTGTTTTTAAAAATATATATATATATATTTTTTAACCAACTTTTAAGTTTATCATACATATTTCTGAAGGATGTTGTGAGTTAAAGCATTTTACAAATTCTGACATGGAAAGGGATTTTGAGAACAGGAAAAACAATTACACCATGTTTTTTTTTTCTGAAACATTTTGATTAGAGGAATGATGAAAATAAAGAAACACCTGGAAGATTTATTAATAAAAAATCAAAAATAAAAATCAACTAACATGATTTAACCGTAAAACCGTATTCTGGACAAATGTGGGCAAAAAAGTTTTGATTTATTTTTAAAAAATACTTCCCTTGGTCTGAGCGGTACAAGACTTGGCTACTTTTCCTAAGTTTGCCCCCTGAACACACATTTTTTTTTTTGACTCAATTCTACAATGTTAAGTGGGTGATAAAAAAACCCCTCCTTAATCTTGTATTTGGGTCAAAAATGGGCACCCATAGAAATGAATGGGAAAAACAGTAATTTAGAGCATTCTAAAATAAGCCAAAATAAGACACCAGGTGACAGCAAAGTCACTTCATCTTTAGGTTTTAGCTCTAAGAATTTATTGGAATGATATTTTAATGTAGTTAAAAAATAAAACATAAAAATAAGCATAATTTACATAGAAAATATGGTACTTTTTGAAGTAAATAAATTCAAAAATACCCCCAAAATAAAAATAAACACCACAAATGGATAGACAAAACTTTATCGAAGACAGCAATATAACATTTATAATAAATAAAAATTAGGATCACACCTGAGTCCTCTGTGCCCACATTTGTCCACACTTACAGAAGCGAATATGGTTTGAGGGCTAGAAATGGTAGAAAGGACCCTGCAGTTCTGCAGTTCATTTTGGGTTTCCTGTTTCTACTTTTCTCTATTCTACGTTTCTTTTCTGTCTTGTCCCTCTCTGACCAATATATTTTTTTTACCACATGCTCATAAGATAAAAATACTTTTACTCCAAAACAATAACAGAGCACCTATCACTTTTAACACACTCTTACCTTTATACAGTGTATTTATGGCAAGCCAGTGATTGCATTTTTATCAGACAGGAAGAAAGAGAGGGCAAGAGAGAGGGAGGAAGGGTGTAGTGATAATGGATCTAGTTCAAATGAACAGCATTCACTGGAGCATCCCATCTTCTCAAAGCTTCAATGCTCCCTCCGTTTCTTCCTTTCCCTGTAGCTATGGCAGAGTCTATGCAACAGCAGACCCTTATCACCACACGATTGGACCTGCAGCCACGTACAGCGTGGGCACTATGGTGAGTAATGAAACATTAATACATGTCCTGACGTTACACAGACCCGAGCACCCCAACAACATACAAGAGCCCAGTGCAACCGTAAGAATGCTGAAAGAAATCGTTGTGCGTTCTGTTCAAATTATTTAAGTAATGACTAGAATGATTGTAAGTATTATAAAGCGAATAGTAAATGAAGCATGTGCGGCGAGCTGGAGATATGTAGTTGGGGTGACTGATTTCTTAAATATTGTACATGAACATATTCAGGGTCCAAAATTACCAGCCATAAATGTATGAGCCATACACTTTTATTGTGCTTTATTTATATAGATAGATTCAAAATAGGCATAGATTCAAAAGGTAAACTTTTGTCCATTTTAGGTGCTAATATGTACATTTTAGGTGTTATTATGTACATTTTTAGTGTTAATATGTACATTTTAGGTGCTGATATGTACATTTGTGCTAATATGTCCATTTCAGGAGCTAATATGTCCATTTTATATCCTAATATGTACATTTTAGATGGCAATATGTACATTTTAGGTACCAATATATACATTTTAAGTGTTAATATGTACATTTTAGGTGCTAATATGTCCATTTCATGAGATAATATGCCCATTTTAAGTGGTAATATGTACATTTTAGGTGCTAATATTTTGGGTGCTAATATGTACATTTCAGGTGATAATATGTACCACTAGGTACCAATATGCAGCTTTTGAAAGGGTACAGCCCCAGTGACAGCTTTTGTACCTTTTTTAGATGTGCTAATTTTGTTAATTTTGGACCCTGTTTGCATGTTTCACATATTCTGATACTCATCAGCTGATATATGTGTATGTGACAGTTTTTCAAGATGGATCCTGAGCATTTTGTATCTGATTAAATGCAATGAGTAACCCAGCATACTGACACTTGATTAGACCTTCCAAATGAGACATTTTCCTTTGCATATCAGCATTGTCAATGTGATGTGGGGATCCTCGTCCCGTTAATGTTTGTTTTTAGCTAGCTTTTGCAGCTAACATCAAAGATGAAAAATTCTAAAACTCCTATCTGAACACAAAAAGAGAAAACTCTTTATGATTTGTTTTTTTGTTTTTTTTTTTGCGGCTGTTGGTCGGGACTTTTCTCAAGATTAACGACCATCAAGCTCGTGCAGCAGCGTGCCGAGGGAGATTAAAGAAAAGGCGAGAGATAGAGGGAGAACGACAGGAAAAAAAGAACGAGAAAAAAAAAAAAGATTCCATCGCACCCACCTCCCCCTGCCCATGAGGCTTATTGGACAAACACTCTGCCTAAGACAAATGACTGGAATTTACCAAGTCGACATCCGTGTGATTCTCAAAACCGAACTATTCCCCGGTGCAGCTGCTAGCTAAAAGCTTTCATTAATTAAGACCATTTTTTCCTCTTCATTTACTTAATTAAAACTGTGGCCTGTGTTGCTTTTTTGCCTCATTTTTCCTTTCTTTTTTTAAAACCAAAAAATTTTCCTCCCTTTCTCAAGACTTCAATTTGCCACTTTAAGGCATAGCAAATATCCTCCGGTCGAACGAGGGGCCGCTGGGGGGCCGAGGTGAGCACTCAGAGTTCTCAGTGATGCCAGGACCAAAACCGGTTGCGACTTAAATGAGCAGAACTCCTCTCAGTACTTGCACTGAGCCTGCTGAGAATGAAATGAATATCATTAAATCTTATTTGACCAGCAGATCACAAGTTAAGAGTATTTAATAATGAGCCCCTCAGAGAGTAAGAAAAAAGTTAGTTTCCTTTGCTCTCTGTTAGAACAGAATTCATTCCACGTTTAAGGCGTGTGTGTTTAGCACAGGGTCGGAGCTGAGGAGAACGGCCCATAGAGCCTTTGAAGTTTTTTGTATTTGGCGAGAGTTAGCAGGCACTACTGCAAGAGAGGTCTGAGAAAGCAGCGCATGTTAGATGTCTCCAATCAGATCAGCCTATGTGGCAGGCGGCCATGATGGAGAGGTTCGATAAAGAGCACAGCAGCAGGATTCAGCGGCCCGTTTCAGTCGCAACCCGGTTGAACCCGCCAAACTCTGAACTCTGACACGACCCGCCCTGAAATTCACACTGTAATTTCCTTACAAAAGCAAAACGAGACGAAAGGGAAGAAAATTTCAACAACTGTTCACCCCAGAGAATTTATTTAACACTGATTGGGTCCTTTTTGTTTTTTCATCTTTGATGTTGCAGGCTAGCCTTTACAGAGGAGGTTACAGTCGCTTCACACCCTACTAGAGAGAGAATCAATCCCCCCGACCAAACAAACAAACAAACAAATAAACAAAAGAAAGCAAACACAAACAAACAACCCACCCACCTCCACCGTCAAGGTTTGCAAAGCGCGAACCTTCCCCGAACAGTCACATTTGGGCTAAAGCTCTGCTTATCATCCTGCGGTTATCCGGCATTTCTGTTGCTTGGCTATTGATTTGGAATCTGTTTTGTTTGTATTGAAATGTGTGGTTCGGGAGGGGAGGGGCTGAGTGACAGAGGGAAGGGTGGGGGGAGGGGGGGCTGTCCAATGAGTTTTCTCATTTAGTCGCGGTGTAGATTTATGGGCATGAGCTCAGCTGATTTATGTGGACAGGGAGTGGGCCAGGAAGTGAGTTTATTTGCCTGACTAAATGGCACAGCAATGAGCAACTTGAGCAAAACAACAGCAGTGCTAGACTCGCACACGTATATTTGCAGTCTTTGCATTAAAGGCCCCACTGAACACCCACTTATTAGAAGTGACGATGACTGCTATTCATTACAATGAGAAAAGAAAACCTCTAAGGTTTTGCTTATGCTATCTGTAAACTAATATAGCCTTACTATTTTTTTTTTCTCCAGTAAATATCAAAGGGGAACATTCATTTACGAATCTCTATGATTGTTTACCAAAACTATATTGCAGTAGTGTTTAAAATGATAGTCGGCTACATGGACCCATCATAAAGGTTTTCAAGTAATTCTGTCACTCACACCCTCTTTCATTTTGACGTACTGTTATGTAACTCAATGAATTTATTGTCTGTATGATTGCAACTGTGTCATTTGGGGAGATTGATTTCAAGACTTTTTTAAAGTTTGGTAAAAAAAAAAATATATATTCTATTGCCACAGATGGACTTAAAATACATTTTATGGGAATTTAATATGTTATTATTTTGGTCATTTTTGTCCCTCACAAATTGTTTTAGCACCGGAGGAGCATAGGCACTTATTGTGGCCATTGGCGTTCTTATTATTCTTCCGTTTCTTCTTCTTTTGCTCTTGAGTCTGTGGCAGCCCACAGAACCGCTTATGAAATTAAGCACACTTGAGGACAGTTTCCAAAACGCTAGCGCCACCAATTGTCCAAATTTGCGCTTATGTTTATGCTAATAACTTTTGAACTGTAAGGGCTAAAAAACTAAATTATTCTTTCTCAAGATTCTTTGGCAAAATTTGCTTAGTCGAACATAACTAATTTTCTCATAGAGCCTTTATAAAATTTCCAAAAATTAATTTAGCTTATTGTAATGAAACTTAGAGTCTGCATAACTTCCTGTCCGCCATTATGATTTTCTTTCAAAACCTACTTTTTTAAACTTCTCCTAGACCGTTCATCCGATTTTCACAAAAATCATCTGAAATTTGAGGCATGATGCCAAAATGACTCTGCAATGCTTTGGCATATTGACATCAAACTTTGTGTCTTACTCTGACCACATCAATTTCATGACAGCACCACCTACTGGTCGAAAGTGATAAACCATTCAATCATATTAGTAGGGACTGTACTAATGATTTTTCATTCCTTTACAATAAGGTTTCGTTTGATAACACTTTACTGCATTAGTTAACATTCACTAACAAACTACAGCATTTATTGTTAATATTGGTCTCTGCACTGTGAACTAAAATGAACATTTAATATGCTGCCAAAAAAATATTTTTCATTGTTAGTTCATGTTAGTTAATTGAGAAATGAGAATGTAAGTGTTACCATAATAATAATAATAATAATTTGTTTTTTATTTCAACAAACCCAACAAATCTAGTGACATTTTCTAATGCGCAAATCTACTTATTATTTACAGGCAATAAAAGCAAAATATCTAACAATGAAATAATCTTAGAGCATATACAGGTATGATATAATGTTCATGTTGGCTTACAATTCATATTTTGAACTAAACCTGTGTAGAAATACGTCTGCCTGTTTCAAAGCAAAAGTAAATATTCATGAAGGAATGCCCTGAGCAAGGTTTCCTTCAGTTTTAATCTGTTAGGTGTCACATAAAGAGCGTACACTTAATCAAGGCCGCTTCTGCTGCTCAGAAGGCATTCTGTAAATAAACATAGTGCGGTAATGTGGAAAGAGAGAACACTTCCCCACTACACGGTCTATTGCACCCTCTAGCTGATGAGATGTCCAGAATCCCACTGCAACCGAGAGATGACAGGGGGAGCAATTACTGCTCATTGCTCAAATCTCCATCACGCTTATGTTTATATGGAAGACGCAGTCCGCTTGAAAATCATTTTGAATAGAACATTTGAACTGACAAAGATTCAGGGATATATCAGACTTTAAGGATTGATGCATTTAAAATAAAAAGACATCCGACTATCCACTGGGAAACCGCTCCCTTTGCAGAGAGTTCCTCTTATGGTGTTCTAAACAACATGTTCCAGTATTGATTTGCTGTTGAGTTACGTGTTAAGCGCCAAGAGTATGCGACCTAGTCATAGATCTCCTGGACATTTTTAGTCAAGTCTAAAATGTATGTGGAGGACAGGCCAGGCTAAGAGTTCCCAGTAGGAGCGGGATGATTTAAGATATTGTGCAGGGAAACCGTTAGGAAAGAGACAAACATACTTTCCATATAGGGTCAGACAACTTCTCATTGAACAAGACACTTCTCTAATCAATTTATACCAAAAAAAAAAAAAACTTAAAACAAAAAAGTGTTCAAAAGTTTGGGATCGGTGCAATTTTTAAATGCTTACAAAAGAGCTCTTATGCTCATCAAAGCTTTTATTTAATTTGAAAAAAAAATACAGTAAAAAAACTGGAACATTGTGAAATATTATTACAATTTAAAACAACTGTTTATTTATTCCTGTGATGGCAAAACTGATTTTCAGCATCATTACTCCACACTCTTAGAAAAAAGGGTTCATTGGGGTTCTATATAGAAGCATATAGGGTTCTTTACTCAACTCCAAAGGACCTTTTATGCTAAAAATGTTCTATAATACAAAGGTTCTTTATAGGCTATTATTCATTCATATATTTCATTATTCTGCAACATTTTGTAGTTGTAATTAAATTATTGTTGTTTATTAAACTGTTGTAGTCACATTTTTATCGTGCTGATTTTTGGAGGAGAAAAACTGAAATGGCACTCTTCGTGTGATATTGATAAACTACATAAAATTATATTAATATAGGCATTTTCTAACCCACATATCTTTTGTGATCATTCACATGCATTCATAAATAGATTTTAGGGTCTTGATGTTTGTCAATAATATGAAATATATATTAATCCGGAAAGGACAAAACAAATAAGATAATGAATGAACCCAAAAGGTTCCATATAGAAGCTTTTTCCTAGTTAAAAGGTTCTTATTATTGAACCCTTAAAAAGGGTTCTGTTTTAGGGGTTCCAAATACGTAGTGCTGATAGAACCTTTTATAAGGTTCTATATAGAACCATTTCTTCTAAGAGTGCAGTCCTCAGTGTCACGTGATCCTTGTCACTCAAGGACATTTCTTATTATCAGTGTTGAAAACAGTTGTGCTGCTTAATATTTTTTGTTCAGAAGAAAAGCATTTATTTAAAACTTTCGTGACATCTATAAATGCCTTTACTGTCACAATATACTTGCTGAATAAAAGTATTAATTTCTTTCATTTTTAAATACTGACCACAAACCATTAAACGTTTGTATGTATTTCGATTTTTATAAATAAATTAGAACATAATATCACCCAGACATTAGTTAACATAATAAATGAGTTGAAATCAGGCTTGAAAGTCAAGCGATCAATTTTCAAGAAGATCCAGCCTAACGTTCTTTTCTCAATGTTGGATAAGCACTTGTGCACGATACGGCGAGAGATTTTCCCCAAGGTGACATTCCTCCCGAGGCCCAGCACTTTATACAGGACCTGTGATAAGACATGCCAGGCCTTTAGAGAAGAGAGAGAAGAATGAGAAAGGCAGAGTTGGGGGTGGCAGTTATCCTCCCAGTGAAATAGGGCCTCCCTCGTTTCCTGGTTCCTCTGGGCGTTGATCATGTCCTTGTGTCTCACACACATACACACGCACACCCCCAGTAAATAGCAGCCTGCACCCCTCAAATGGAATTGTAAGGGTGGAGTTATAGAAGAAGGGGAAAGAAACCAGGGTAGAGAGGCAGCATCCAAAGTAATTTACTCCACAGATTAAAGATAACAGCATTGAGTCAATAACCACTGATCTCATTTGGAGATACACTAGGCCAGCCAGGCGCGTGGCACAACCGTTCTGCTCAGTCTATTACCATAGCTGTTGCGGCTGCCTCTTCAGACACGCCGTTCTCCCATGAGTGTGAAATCACAGCAGCCTATTGTAAAACATAGATTAGATGCATTGCTTTTTTCCACCTTTGTAGGGAGAAATCTACAGCGCAACATAATATTTCACCTAAACGAATGTGTCCTTGTTCCCCTAGTGCTGCGTGCGGCTCACTTGGCTCTTAGAAAAACGGTAGACTGTGCAAGCACTAGCAAAACTAAAAACTACGTTTTGTTAAATCAGTATTGAATATGTACTGGGAAAAATATGCGTTGGCTTAATCGTTTCCGCAAATTAATAATTCGTTCCCGGGACTTACTAATACATCTGCACATTTTACTAATTAGTTCCTTATCGTGGCCACCTTGTAATAATTCTTTCCCTTGGTTTAGTTAAACCAAAACGAGGGAACAAATTAGTTCAAGGTGGCCACGAATTACTTAAATGAGGGAATGAATTCTTAATTTGTGGCCACAATTAAACTAAAACGAGTGGCCTCGATACGTATTTCTCCGCTGTCATGTCCGTAAATATGTTTTCATCTGGGAGAAGTGTTTAAAAGTGGACTAAAAAAAGGTCTTGTTTTCCTTAAATATCCAAACTATTGTTTATTATCAGAAACCAAAATACAAAAGCTATAATAGTCTTCTGTGGGAATGGAATACCAGATTTATTTTGCACTGTAAATAACATTGTGATTTTAATTTCTCAAATTTTTCTGTCTGACTTTGAACAATGTGTTGTTAGTGTTGATCAGTTTGAAAATGAAAAGGTGTGGCGTATAAAAACACTATTGCCACTGTGTGTTAAACATACAAAGTACAAAGTCCTTTCTTTTGTAAACTTATTATACACCCTTAAGAATATTATGTGGTGACATTTTTATATAATATAATATAATAGGCTTTAAATCCAAATTGTTTATACCTTTTCTGAGGAGAGGAGAGAGCATATTATGTCCAGATGTGAGTCAATTTCTCTGTGCTGTGTGTTGTTGAGCTATTTAAATGTGTGTCCTTTTTTTCCTTACATCGAGAAGGTATTTACGGTGCCCTCTGACCTCTGTTTCCTTTACGTGGAAGACACAATTTTAATTGACTCACATTTTCTGAAGTGGCTTTACTCAGAGTACGAGCCTTCGTTGTGTTCGGTGCTTCCAGCCACGTACTTTGTTAGTCCTAAAAAGTGGCAAAACAACGTTTTTAGTTTGACCATAAACCGCGCTTCCTCTTGTTAAATATCTATGCAGAATTGAAAATCAATTGGAGTTAATTCATGGAAAAGACTATCATATTCTTGACTAAGGCATTTCCGTCTCCATTTCAGACAATTAAACTAATCAAGCGACTATATTAGGACTCAATCACCCATTTATTTAATTCCAGCATTTAGGCAGAGAGAAAACACAGCGCTGAGCATGAAATAACTGCTGAGGAGACAGTTTGCAGTCGTCTAAACGAATGTGTGAGCTTGCAGATTGACAAGATGGAAGTCTCCGTCTTGCATGGACGCCGCAGTGGGCCATTAAAAGATTGCCTGTTTAATTAGCTCT